TGTTAACCTTTATGTACTAACGTAACCCTGGGTAAAGGCCTCGCATTACGTGTACCGAAACAGACCAGCAGCCCTTGCGTGAGACACTTTACCGTAATTGCTCTGGTTGATACGCGGGCCTTCCGCATGTTGTACAGTTAGGGAGCCACCAGCTACTTACTACATGGATATCCATCTCTTAATGACCTTGGGTGTTCAAGGGACGATAAATGCAACAAATAATTGCTCTTGTTATCAACATCTGCACTATTATTCATGCTCTAGGTGGCAGAAACCAACCGTTTGCACAAAATCAGCTATCAGATTCCTGACGGAACCAGACTCATCATCTATACAAAAATTTGTTCCTTTCTGAGGATGCTTCAGACCGAATTTCCGTAAGATCCGCCTAGTCGTTTACGACAGTAGCGATTATTAGGACTAAAAGTTTACGGACTAACAGACGCCGTGGTATGGCATAAACTCACTAGTCCTTCAAACCAGGTGAGCTAATAAAACGTTTTATATCCATATCTGCTAAGTTTCAGAACCCTGTCAGCAATGCTAAGACTGAAGCATGCTAGCAGTTTTTATCATTTAATCATCATAAACCTTGATTATCAGCAAACCTAGTTATCTTTGTTGGCAGAAATTGAAATAAGAGCATTGAATGGTTTATCTGCAGACACAATTTAAGTTTATTGGAAGTGTAACACGAGTTCTGTGGATATTTGTCGTAGTGAGTTGAATATGAATGACTGTTACACCAACACTATGTAATAGTAATCATTTAACCTTGATAAAACTAATTTTAAGGAATAAGTTGCCACTTTACAATCTATATTTATATCTCATTTGAGCGGCCGTATAACATATCTTGATACTGAGCTGTCCTTTTCCATTCAAGTCTGTTTTTTAATCTTTAAGCATCCCGTGAGAATATTTCAGATTCACTCTTAGATGAAAAGAAAAACAATCGTTTTTCGTTGTGTCACCTTTAATTTGAACAAGTATATCACACACACAATTTATGTATACCATCAGTTTAATTTGGACAAGTATATCACACACACAATATATGTATACCATCAGTTTAATTTGGACAAGTATATCACACACACAATATATGTATACCATCAGTTTAATTTGAACAAGTATATCACACATGCAACACGGTTATATCATTGATACTTTCAAAGAAAACTTCAAGAAAATATAAGTAATATCAAAACAAAGATACCCCGGTAGATATTACATGTATTCACAATATACTGTCAGCCAGGAAACAAAGGTCTCTTTAGCTTGATCGGTTGAGGGTAAGACAACTAAACTAGAGGTCCCCCGTTTAATCCCTTGGCATTGAAATAAACAATACTTCTGTTGCAGAAATACCAGATATCAATATGTACTGATAAGAATGGAAAAAGGAAGTATGCTTTGAAAATTAAGCTTGAACATTGTAAGATGGTAGGTAGCCACAAAGAAATGACACTTACATTTCAAGTAATGACTTTACTAACCATTTCAAGCAGTAATACTATATATAGAGATATTGATATTTATAAAAGAAAATGCACATCACTTAAATACAGCAAAACCTCAACCTTTAAAAAACAGAAATATCTCCATATCTCTTACTATCACACATGATGAGATGATGAGATCAGTATGTTTTTTTTTTAAAACATGAGGTATTTATGAAGACAAGAAAACAATATTTGGACTTGTAATGAATATCATAAACTTCAAACCCATATAGATCTAACTGGCACAAAAAATTACACTCAAATTAATAGCTTTAAGTGATTACATAGTCGTGGATTACTTTTACTGTGTAGTTTAAAAAAAGGTCAAAAATGGAAAATAAAAATGGTATTTGCTGGCAAAAATATCCACTTTTCTTGGTCAGCTTTATGCACTTGTGTTATTCTATTTTGTCAACTATGAAGATTATTGATATGGTTACCTGAATAGCAAAACACACTTCTGACCTAAATAAATATAAATTATAATTAAAACATTACAAATATGGTCCCTGTTGTTAAATAAAAACCCCAACATATCATTAAAGGAGTTAAAAACTTCACAACCTTAGTTCTAGAGAAGTTTGACTTCATCGTGCTGTCTTTCATAACTATCTTCCTGACAACAATATCACTATATGTACATGGCACAACCACCTGTGTATTGATAAAACTACAAACATAAGGGCTTTTTTTTTTTTTTTTGGGGGGGGGGGGGTAGAGGGGGGTTATAATAGTTTTAGGATTTCTCTAGGGACTCCAGCTTTGAAGTTTCTATAGGGACTCAAGCTTTGTGGTTTATGTGGGAACTCCAGCTTTGTAGTTTTTGTGGGAACTCAAGCTTTGTAGTTTATGTGGGAACTCCAGGTTTGTAGTTTTTGTAGGAACTCAAGCTTTGTAGTTTTTGTGGGAACTCCAGCTTTGTAGTTTTTGTGGGAACTCAAGCTTTGTAGTTTTTGTGGGAACTCCAGCTTTGTAGTTTTTGTGGGAACTCAAGCTTTGTAGTTTTTGTGGGAACTCCAGCTTTGTAGTTTATGTGGAAACTCCATTTTTGTAGTTTATGTGGGAACTCCAGCTTTGAAGTTTATGTGGGAACTCCAGCTTTGTAGTTTTTGTTGGAACTCCAGCTTTGTAGTACATGTGGGAACTCAAGCTTTGTAGTTTTTGTGGGAACTCCAGCATTGTAGTTTATGTGGAAACTCCAGTTTTGTAGTTTATGTGAGAACTCCAGTTTTGTAGTTTATGTGGGAACTCCAGCTTTGTAGTTTATGTGGGAATTCCAGTTTTGTAGTTTATGTGGGAACTCCAGCGTTGTAGTTTATGTGGGTACTCCACCTTTGTAGTTTATGTGGGAAATCCAGTTTTGTAGTTTATGTGGGGACTCCACTTTTGTAGATTATGTGGGGACTCCACCATTGTAGTTTCTGTAGGGACTCAAGGTTTGTAGTTTCTGTAGGGACTCCAGGTTTGTAGTTTATGTGGGGACTCCAGGTTTGTAGTTTATGTAGGAACTCCAGCTTTGTAGCTTATGTGGGGACTCCAGCTTTGTAGTTTATGTGGGATATCCAGTTTTGTAGTTTATGTGGGTACTCCAGCTTTGTAGTTTATATGGGAATTTAAGGTTTGTAGTTTCTGTGGGATCTCCAGTTTTGTAGTTTTTGTGGGAACTCCAGCATTGTAGTTTATGTGGGAACTCCAGCTTTGTAGTTTATTTGGGAATTCCAGTTTTGTAGTTTATGTGGGTACTCCAGCTTTGTAGTTTATGTGGGAAATCCAGTTTTGTAGTTTATGTGGGTACTCCAGCTTTGTAGTTTATGTGGGAAATCCAGTTTTGTAGTTTCTGTAGGGACTCCAGGTTTGTAGTTTATGTGGGGACTCCAGGTTTGTAGTTTATGTGGAAACTCCAGCTTTGTAGTTTATGTGGGAACTCCAGCTTTGTAGTTTATGTGGGAATTCCAGGTTTGTAGTTTTTTGTGGGAACTCCAGCTTTGTAGTTTATGTGGGGATTTAAGGTTTGTAGTTTTTTGTGGGAACTCCAGCTTTGTAGTTTATGTGGGAACTCCAGCTTTGTAGTTTCTGTAGGGACTCCAGGTTTGTAGTTTATGTGGGGACTCCAGGTTTGTAGTTTATGTGGGGACTCCAGGTTTGTAGTTTATGTGGGAACTCCAGCTTTGTAGTTTATGTGGGGATTTAAGGTTTGTAGTTTATGTGGGGATTTAAGGTTTGTAGTTTATGTGGGGATTTAAGGTTTGTAGTATCACTGGGTACACCAATAGTATTTTTGGGTAGTCCAGTTTCCTGTAGGTATTCAAGTTCATGGTTTTCCAGATTTGGGGCTACTCTGGATACTGTTTTGGGTTTTCCATGGGTAGTTTAGGGTTTTCTATGGGTAGTTTAGGGTTTTCTATGGGTAGTTCTGGGTTTTCTATGGGTAGTTTAGGGATTTCTATGGGTAGTTCTGGGTTTTCTATGGGTAGTTTAGGGGTTTCTATGGGCAGTTTTGGGTTTCTATGGGTAGTTTAGAGTTTTCCATGGGCAGTTTTGGGTTTTCTATGGGTAGTTTTGGGTTTTCTATGGGTAGTTTAGAGTTTTCTATGGGTAGTTCTGGGTTTTCTATGGGTAGTTTAGGGTTTTCTATGGGTAGTTCTGGGTTTTCTATGGGTAGTTCTGGGTTTTCTATGGGCAGTTTTGGGTTTTCTATGGGTAGTTTAGGGTTTTCTATGGGTAGTTCTGGGTTTTCTATGGGTAGTTTAGGGTTTTCTATGGGCAGTTTTGGGTTTTCTATGGGTAGTTTAGAGTTTTCTATGGGTAGTTTAGGGTTTTCTATGGGCAGTTTTGGGTTTTCTATGGGTAGTTTAGAGTTTTCTATGGGTAGTTCTGGGTTTTCTATGGGTAGTTTAGGGTTTTCTATGGGCAGTTTTGGGTTTTCTATGGGTAGTTTTGGGTTTTTGGGTTTTTTATGGGTAGTCTTAAGTTCCCTTCGAGTTTCCAAGTTTTATAGTTTCTTTATACACTCTAGTTTCCATCTACATACAAAAGTATTGCTGTAAGTTGATAAACTTGTTTAAGAAAAGATGGAGGTGTATTTTGTATACACCTTTATATAATAACAATTCCAAAACTAAGTATTTCTCATATACAGTACTAGTATGTGTTATTGAGACAATTGGTATCTTGTAGACAGTGATGCGTGACATTGTACATTTGTATATAAACAAGCTACAATCAAGGAAGTGTTTTAATGTGTTAAATACAAATGTGACTACTGCTTTTTCCTTGCATCAATTTGTCTAAACAGTAAATACTGTGGCAGTGAGTTATTCTTGATATCCATTTTCAAACCAAGACTTAAGTGTAAGTCAACATAACAGTTAGAATTAGAAAATAAATATCAACATCTTAGATATAAATAAATCAACCCAATCATGAATTCACAAAAAAAAAAAAAAATGTAAAATATCGTATAGATTTGTATTGTAAGTAATCACACTGCTGGTGTTATAACCCAAACTTTTGCTGGAGTTTATCGATGGTGACTGCACTCCCCCCACACACGATGATCAGGACAGAGGTTACCTCCCCTAGTTTGCCCTCCTTCTGTAATCGTGTGATAACATCACTGTACACTGCCGCCAGACTGGCACCACAAGCAGGCTCCACTAACATCCTGTGGTCCTCTGGAATCACAACAAACTTTACTTCTTATTGTAAAATTCATCAGGGATCAAAGGGAGACAACTTTCACTTGTATAAGCCTATGTGACTTGATATTTCATGATAACGTGTCCAGTAGAATCACTCACTTTTACAACAAATTAGACAAGTTGGAATATAACTAGCAGGCATACATTTTGTAAAGAATGTGTAACTCACCTGAAAATTTGATACAAGCATCAACAGCCTGTTGGTCTGTTACCAAGGCAGGGTGGATCTTATGCTCTCTAGATTTCTCGAGTGATGCTTCACACACAGTCAGGGATCCTAGACTCTTGGCAACACTGAAGAGTACAGAGTGAGAATGACGGGTGATAATGAAATGCAAGTGATCCAAGTAAACAAAACAGCACTACAGCCTTTAATATTGTAATAAAATAGAATTAATCCCAAATCTCCAGCAACATTGACTAATTCAAAGTTAGCAATTTAGTGCCACAATACAATATTATAATCATCACCCTAATCTAGAACGTTTATGACAAATTATTTTCCAGTTATGAGATAATTCACTCTTAGCATTGAACTAAGACATGGTCACCTTCATATTTGGTCATGCATCCCCAAATTTGACTGCAGTCACCCATTATGTCACTTTGTAATTCCACAATTAATTTCAGTGAAATCTGCTTTACATAATATGAATGCATTTTATACTTGACCTTGACCTTTATGTGGGTGACCTTCATGTATAGTCAAAGCTAAACTTTTCGTTTGTTCTAACGATAAAGAGTGGGTAACTCAAATGGACTGCAGTTTGTCATACCTGGTAATAGCAGGTAATGTTACAAGTTTTCCTGCTTCTACAGCCTTTTTGTAGCTCTCAGCTCCCTCAGTTTCCATGGCAACCACAGGTACATCTTGCCACCCGACCTTCTGCATACCCTGTACTACTCCAGTCAGCAGGCCCCCTCCTCCAACTGATGCCACTACCACATCTGGTTGGCACGGCATCTGTTCTTTTGCTTCTACAATCATAGGACTGTGGCCTTCCCTGAAATTTTAAATGAAGAAATATTATTATGATTAATATTTGACACTAATATATCTCAATCTAAATTTGTATAGAAAGATGCTTGATTATGACAAGACATTTCAACTATTTCAAACTGGTATTCCTCTAAGGTGATGAGACATACAAATGTACCTGTTATAATATATATATCTATATATTACCTTCCAGGTATTCATCTAAGGTGATGAGACATACAAATGTACCTGTTATAATATATATATCTATATATTACCTTCCAGGTATTCCTCTAAGGTGATGAGACATACAAATGTACCTGTTATAATATATATATCTATATATTACCTTCCAGGTAATAATCTAAGGTGATCAGATATATCTGTTATAAATATATATATATATTAAACTTGATTACTATTCCAACACTTTACTCTTTAGTAACCCTTTACAAAATGAATATATATACTTCATATTCCTTACCATACATCAGGGTGATCAAATGGGTGTACATAAACACAACCTGTAAAGAACAAATGTACGAACTATAAATCCTTGAATATTTCTTATAAAAAAGAAATAATAAATCCCCATCAATTTTAGATGTGACCTTTGACCCCAGTATGTTATGTTGACCTTTATAGGAGAGATTCCTTTAAATAAGTCATTTCTATTTCTCCAAGAAATCAATATGATAAGAAATGACAGATTCAATGAAATAAGAAGGAAGATCGGAAGTTTGCTGTTTCTTTATACATCCTATTATACATTATTATTATCTTTACAGGACAAGTTCTCCAAAGAATTCTGAAAACAACAAAACACCTGTGTATTAGTAAGACACATTTACTTAAATGACTCCAAAGTACAGTGGACATTGTGGCAATGACACAAAAACAGGGGAGGTAAGTAATACTTACCTGGATCTGTTGCCAATTTCTGAGCATAGGCATTACTTTCATCCCAGACTCCTCCATGTACCTCTACAACAGCACCCTAGGTGAACAGAGATAATAATCTAAGTAATCACAGGATAAAGAATGGGGTACTTGTGTCTCCAAATGTATGGAATATAATTTTATCTATAGGAGGGTGAAATGTTCTTATCAAATGTGTGATATTGACTAGTATTATATAATTAGATATAATTCTATGGAGACAAGAATTAAGAATCTGGACAGAACAAAGGTTAAATGGAAAAACAAATCATAAGTATGTAATAGTTACCATGTCCCTGACTTTGTTGGCAACCAACTCGGGTGTGGTAGTGGGAAGGACAATTGTTGCAGGTACTTTAAGACACTGAGCAGAGTAGGCCACAGCAAGCCCTGCATTGCCACCAGAAGCACAAACAAATCTAGTGGCACCATTCTCTACTGCCTGCATTAAAAAAAATGTATTCTATTCACAAATAATTTCTTAACTATTTTTAGAGTAGCAAATCAGAGACATATATTGGTGAAGTAAGATTTGAATCCAATTGTTTGCATTAGTTCATATCACACATTGTTTGCTAATGGTCTTGGGTATTTATATAAGACAATACACAAAAATGGTCACATTGCATTTATTTTCTTTTGACCTATTCGATGTGCTTACCTTTTTACAGAAGTGACCAATGCCTCTTTGCTTAAACGAGCCAGGTATCTGGAGATTCTCCAGCTTCAGGTACACAGAGTACGGCCCTTTGGACATGGGGATGCTCTGAATACATGGAGTTCGAATAAAAAGCTCTGCCATTTTATCAGGTATGTATTGTGTGGAGATCAATTGTCTGTTGTTCCTTCAACACTAAAATGGGAACTGTTGGAAAAGAAGAGTGATAGTTAGGTAAGATGTTTATTGTTTAACATTGCTGAGATAACTAGTCTAATGATAGTATCATTTGTTTATGCAAAAATAAAATCGCCTTTAGGACAGATGGGGATGGAAACTACTTTATATGTTTAGTTCATGAGAAGAAGGGTTGGGTTCATTTCCTTCATAGTAACTCAATTTTCTTGCTACAGAGGTCAAAATCTCTATATAAACCCAATAACCAAGAACCGCTGGCCCTGACAGTATAAATTAAATGGCTCAATAATTATCAATCGATTGTGAAGAAGGGCTACTAAATTTGTTAAAATAAATGACCTTGACCTACATTGATGGTTATGGAAATCAATAACAGGTGTGCTATAATTTTCAAGCAACTTCTCCTCAGAAACTGAAAGGCCCATGATCATGATATTAAGGCTGTAGTATACTGGGAGAAGGTCTGCAATGTTTGTATCAAGGAATATCTTTGATATCCTCCAATGTCACTGGAGTCAAAAGCTTAAACATGTTTTCCCGAATAACCAAAATGTGAAAAATCATAATATTTGGCCTAGTGCATACTAGAATAAAGTGCTACAAACTAAATTTAAATGAACATTAACATCATAAAGGAATTGTGTCCAAATTTTCCATTGACCTCTTTATATAGAGGATTTGAATTTGCTATGTCACCTACAACATATACTTATTAAGTAAAATTATATTTTGAATATCTGATGAGAGAAAAATTGTCCAATAATGTACATTGGACACCCTTAGCTCAAAATTAAAAGACGCCTAAAATGATGATGCATCAACACAAATGCCCTATCATGTTTTTTTTCACAAATTGCTGAAATGTTTATCATTGATAGACAAGTGAGCTAAATTGAGGAAGTAAAGGAACCTGTACGCGTTGGATATTCCTGGTCCTGGTACAGGTATGCCTCGGTGAGTGCTAATTATAGACACACGTGGTTCTGACCAAATGTAACCAAATCATGAAATGAAATTTGTAAAATATCCAAGAAAAATATGACTGATTCAAACACCAGGTAGAACACTTTTTATCACAACTTTCTTTAAAAAATTGTTCCAGTTTAGATAGCGCCACGTTAGCAGTGCGATAGATATATGCCAATTGGGCCTTTTTCATATACTTTCGATTTGCCTTTAATGACCTGTATGATGTTATTCTTGTATGTAGGTATAATAGCTTTGTAACATTTACGTGAAATAAAGCGATCGACTCATTTTGTTGTCCAGATCAATATGAAAAGGACAGTAAATGTAGGTTGTAAAAGTCACGCTAGGACACCGCTGTCAAACGAGCTTACAAAGTAGCCGACCACAGTACGATAACATCTACCCTCTATCTGTGTCACGTTGGATATTGACCCCTGTAATCGGAACATGTTTTTAAAAAATGGGACGTTTTGTCGAAAACTTACCTACAACATATCGCATTGACAACTTTCTTGTCGCGTGTGATGTGTCTCTATAACAGCTAAATACAGTTAATACTACTACCTAATATCTTACCGTAAATGTTCAGGCGATATTTTTGTAACGGCTAATCTGATTGGTCTATTTTGGAGGTGTGTGCTTGTTTGAGTGTACCAAAGTTTTTTCGGAGTTATCTCTCTTAAACCAATTAGCTATGTAGTGATCAACAAGAATTAATGGCTAAATTGAGAATTTCTCCTAGAAGAAGATATTTTTCTTGAGACATAGACTGAATCACAAATGTATCATGAATTTGTTTCTTTCCATTCTAAAGATAATAAACAAAATCGACCGAAAGCGGATTTGAGGGAGGATTCCCATGTACATTTACATTATCTTTTATTTTAAAGGAAACATGTCAAACTTGGTAGGATTGTAGACTCTGATATGTCAAAGGCAATACTATGTATACATATGAGGGGTTAAAGATATGCAATATACTTTATAGAGTAGCTGACCATCTTTTTCACTTAAAAAAACAACCCCCTAAAAGTCAGTTGAGACTAGAGAGGCAGTGATCCAAGAGAAGAAATGTATTTTTGTTTGTTTGTTCTGAAGGAGAGAATCGAAGTTCGATTTCAGTAAAAAAATCAGACTTAGTTCCTTGAAATTCATATTCTATCATGTATTTATTTCGAAAAAGTAAAACACGCATTTTTTTATTTACACAAACAACGCTAAATGTTACCGTTTCTTTTACAGAAATCGGCATTACCGTTTGTCGTCTGCTATCGCCAATACGAGATGTATTTATTCTCTAAACCAACAATTTTGTGCCCACTGTCTTATCAGCTGAACTTTTGATATAAGGATATAATTAAATAAAAATAAGTTGATAAAACAATGAAAAAATAGACAACACCATGTTTTAGAGAGTATTCAGTACACACTGTACTTGGGTTGAAATTTCTGCCTGATTCTGTGGACAAAACATCGTAATGTAACCAGCTGTTGTTAAAATCTCATCTTCAAACTTTCAAGGGTTAGGATGATCACTAATGATCTCTTCAGTTAGATTATCGTACTGAACCTGCTTGGTCCGCGATAACGCTAAATACTAGGCGATTATAAAACATAAATAGATATATTCGATTCGATTATAAAATATTAATTGATATATTCGATTATAAGAAAAAGATCAAAACGAGTTGTGGATAGATGAGGACATGACAGCAAGATACATACATGTACTTGTATGAACCATAGGACTTGGCACGAATTCCCAACCCACAGACCATCTATACAAATGTATGTATCATATTGTCACTATATAATACATTATATTAATCATGGGTCGGGAGTTTGTGCCAAGTCCCTGTGGTATGAATGCTATGGGCACATGTAATAAGTGTATAACTTAAGATAGGAAGCTGAATTTTAAACATTCAGCTGACGGATGTTGCAGCAGCCATACTGAACTTTAATCGAATCATTTCCTGCAGACAAAAATACTTGAAACAAACGTGTTAACATCCATTTCAAAGAATGAAGGCATGTCATTTAAATCATATTCAAAATCCAACCGATGGCCGCCATAACACAGAAATAAATCAGTCTAGAGTCAAGGATTTAGATAGGGAACTTCAAAAGTGTTCATTATTCAACATTAAATTTGAAGAAGACTCCAACTCTAGCGAGACAAATCAGGGGAATGGATCGATATATACGTAATTCATTATAACGGTGTGACATTTACATATAGATCATGCAGCAGATTCATTATATACACAAATGCCCCTTTTCGTCATATTTTCTCATTAAATCAACTATTTTTTTATCAATACTACATGCAAGGCCGTCTAAAAATAACTAACATTGACCTATAATTTCAGTACTCACGGTGAGATTTTCAACACATAGAATTTACCCCTATAACACCACGCTAGTGAATGACGTCATCAGCTCGCTTAGAATTTCGGACCAACATATCACACGAAAGACAATGTGTTGGTAACCCAATGAAGTTGTAAAACTCTCGAGTCAGCCTCGCCAATCACATGACAGAACGCTTAGGACAACGGAACATGTTTTTAGAAACCTATTTGTTGAGATGTTACAAATTTTAAAATCGATCAAGTTACCGACTTCTCTTTGTACAAAGAAGACTGCCGAGGGTAACAGACCTGTTTTAATTCCAATTAGGCTCGCTGTGTATATTTGGATAAATTTCCAAATGAATGATGTGACCAGTACACAAACGGCTCCAGATGATTTAGATATAATTTTAAGGAGTGCTTGAGTGAACTACCACAGCCATGACATCAGCAAGAAAATACAACGTGTAAGAACCAGAGAAGAATAGGAATGTCTATCCGACCTCAGTGCTTGGATGAGTGCCAATAAGATGAAATTAAACAAAACGCAGAACACATTGTCCTCGATGTCTTTCGCAACAGATAGACCTCGATGACCATAAACTGATGACTGGCTCCTACTGTTGATGAGTGGTTTCAACACCAAAAAGAACTACGATTTTATATGTACAATAGATCAGCTTCATTCTTACATAAAGTTGTCGCATCCCACCGGTCGACAGGACCACTGAGCTGGTGTGAGTTTGTGTATTACGAGTATCCAAGCCTTTTACCGTGCGATAGACGTTTCAGGGTGGTAACATATATTTTATAGTACAAAAATAATGCTATTCCTTCATAACTTTTTGGCCGTATTGTCTGTATTGTTAATTCTGCATCTCCTAGTGTTATAGATAATAGTTGTATATACGCTTTTTTCACCACAAGTCGCCGACAAATTACTAATTTGATGGCTGTTATAGAAAGTTTTCGTTGCTATAATACATCAACAGTTAACATATTTAAAAAGGGAAAACCATCAAAACTCAAATTCATCAAATTCAAACTCAATAAATTAAAGCAAAATATGAAAAGATTTACACGGAGACTCATAAAACTAGATAGGAAAAAAACCAGGTGTTTCGGAGGAGTAGGTATCTCCTGTTTCATCGACGACATCCGCCATGCAAATTTAAGTTAGTACACGTGAGAACAAGGAATACAACAGCGTAACCAACAAGCAAACGAACCAGGTTCTTGCATGAAAATCGTGATATTGGGAACAGACCCTTAAATATCGTACCAACTTCGACATATAAACATCAAAAGTTTGGGATGCAGTGGTGTTACTATCCAGAACTGGAATATCACAATAAGGAAATTAAGATCAAAAGGGCCCATAGATATGCCAATAGGCTGTTGGAAGATCTTACTACCAAACTCAACGAAGATGTTGTCAACCATAAACTTGAACATTTCTATGATTTTGTCCTCTGTATATTCATTCTTTGATTTGGACGTGTTTTTCAGGAAATACGCTCCAGTATATTTCACCATATAGTTATATCACAGTTCACCTTCCTTTGAAAATGAATCTCTCGTAAAAAAGAACGAAGGCGTAATCTCAGTTTAGAATGGGGTATG